CCCTTACCGGTTGCAAACATCTGGTAACTTTGATAAGCAATTTTATTCTGAGTTCATGGACGTTTTCAAGTCTAATATTGTTACAAATCCCCAAAGAATGTTTTGGGCTCTAGCCAGATTTCCTAGATCATATGATTGAAAGAGTCGTGTATTTCCTGGCTCTAGATCTCGTGTTTTGGAAAGGTCATCATGTTAACATTTGAACTGGCCCATGTGATTGTTAGAGATGGAAATAAATGAGAAATAAGGTCAGCTAATAATCTCTCGAATTTATCCCTGTTGCATGTTAAATGCACATGAATACAAGCATCACTTCATGAATTAATTTTTATTCAAATACCTCAACACTTCTGGCAAAAAAATAAATAAATTAGCAACGCAGGGAAAGGCATCACACAATAACATCCCTCACGCAAAGACCCACAGAGTGACCTCTGAATAAAAAGCAATACAGGAATGACAACTAAAAGGAAAAAAAGTAATCTCGGTAGTCTTTGACCTCTCACTTCCCAACATCCCCCCCATCAAGTCCCAGTGGATCCACACAGCTTCCACAAAATGTGGAACCTTAGGTACTCCCTGGCACAAGGGCAGGTTCGCGCCATTCTAGTAAGAGGGAAAAAGTGCCCACATGAGCTCCGGCCTGGCGTTATGACTGTGAGTGTGCTCAGCCACACAGGAAACCGATGTCTTCCTTGTCACAGCCGACAGGAAGCCACCAGGCTGACTAAAACTTCGGCCTCTCAATCATGCACAACCATTTTTTTCTCTTCCCAGTTGTTCCCCTGGACCCCCTTGTTGATATGACCACATATATCACATTTTTAGCCGGGGCAATAAATCACCACTACCCTTGGAGGCCAAGTGAAATCAAATTTGCGTTCAAGGTCTTTCTCACTGTTTTATGTCTCTCAGGACAACTGAACTTAAAATAGTTCAAATTTTTCTTCTGCGTGAAAATAACACATTATTCTGTTCTTTGATATTTCAGGGACTGAATGACAGTACATACATAAGCATACATAAACTCAACATGCAATCCGCTGGCACAACAACTTTGTTTAAGTTCAGGTTTCCAAACTCTTTTAACATGTGACAGTTGACCACGCTATGAATGGACCGGGCGTTGTTTTCCAAATGTCAACCTGAAAGGACATTCAAGGGTGTGTCAACACCCCAGTCCCTCCTCCCAATTACCCCCTCTCTCCTCTGACTCATCCTAACCAGACTCCACCACTGAATATATTTAGCTTACAACTTGGGCTACGTGTGTAGTGAGCGTGATTCAAGATAAAAATGTTGGTCTTCCTGCACACACAACTTAAACTTTTTCCCTGTCAGTGTTAGATTCAAAATATTTGACCCAAGTCTCAATAACAGTACATGTACTTTGATAGCTAAGACTTTGAAAAACCTTCCCTGAGAAATCCTGTAAGAACCCAGAACATAACTTGTCCAAAAAAAAAGAAAAAAAGGGGAAAAAAAAGAAGAAAATCATGTAAATACTATTTTTTCTTTTAAAGGGCACACAGCCACACGAATCCTTTTTTAAGCATGGACACAATTAGTGAAGAAATTAACATCAAATTATGTTCTTCAATTAGAAGCATAGGAAAACTCAATATATTTTAAATATTTTACCCCTTACAAAGTTGACCTGGTTTCTATTGAACTCCTCACTACTGTTTGGATAAGGGTTTCATAAATCATTTTGTACACTGGAATTTCAACATATTTTGCACACAACAAAAACCTCTAACAGCTTTATAATAAGTCAGTTCTAACAGGCTAGCTTATTCAAATCATCAGCGTCAATTTGATACTATCATCCCTAGTGACATGTGTGAGGTGAAAGTGATCGCACTTCATCAATTTTGACAAGGCAGCCAAGGAGGACAGGCAATACATTTGTAATGGACACCTACGTCCTTGTTGATACCTGTCTGAAAGTCACTGGACAACAAAATTTATTGCTCATGATCTGTCATCTGTCCAGTGCAGATGTATCGTGACTTATGTAACAAGACTAATCATAAGAATTCATATCATTTGGGGCTGTACAGAACAAACGTGTATTTAGCTAGTATTTTTTTTGACAGACTTCATTTCTGTCAAATTCCTGTAAATTGCCCTTGAACCATTTTAGATTTCAATATTTGGTGCTGTTCTTTTTATTCCCCCCCTTAAATTCATCCTTTCTTGGTTGGTAATGCATCCAATTTTAATGGTTTCAGTTTTAAATGAATGAGTCTTTTGGAAATAAGTCAAAATCACAATGGACCCATGTAAGAGCAGTTGTTTCAACAAACCGTTGGAACACTAACAAGCTTTCAATAGCACCCCCCCCAAAAAAGAAATTCAGTGGTCGACTCCCTCAGCCCTTTGTAAGCTGGTGTGTAGGCTGCAATCAAGCTGGTTCAAGGGTATGATGGTAAGTTTCATGAAAGGAAGTTCTTTAATTGATCAAACATTTCATGAAGTGCATGTTTGCGCAGTCTACCAGCCATAACATTCCAGTAAGCCTATAATCTGTAGGCCTATGACCCGTGCCGTAATGCTGTTAAACATGTATTTCCAGTGCATAGCATGGTTTAAATCTACAGCTGATGTTAATCAACACTAGAACAACGTCTCTTTTGCATTAGATTTCTTACCTTTAGACACAAGTTGCAGTTGATTTTTTTTGTTTAAAAAAAAAGTAAGTCTCTTGCAAGATTTCTGAGAAATAATACCCCAAGAGAAACAAAAGCCCTCCAGAAAGACAAAAAGCAAAAACAAAATTGAACAAAAAATTCAAAACCCAAACGAAGAAAGCCAACAACAGAACCCCAAAGCAAAAATCAATGACTTAAGCAAGACTGCACATTTTGCTTTCACACTCGACATTTTTTCGAATGAACAAGCTCATAACTGTTCACACATATCGGTTAGATAAATATACAGTACCAAGCAGGATCATGGACCCATGCCTGTCCGGAAACTGGACCACACACCAGGCGTGGATTTTGGGCAGAAGAGGGCCGGACACCTTTAATTACTTGTGATGTTCAACTTACCTGGCACAACAGAACAGCAGTCAAGTGTTCAGCTTTTTGAAGAAATGTCCCACCTGAAACCACCTTGGTAGTATACAGTAAACATGTGCTCTATTTATTTCCATGAAATTTGTTTGCATGTTGGAAAAATCTCGGCAAAGAAAATGTAAACTGATATTTTTCCCTGAACAAATGTAATAATGTACCACACACGTGGTGCCTGCAGCACCGCAAGCTAACGATGGATGTACATGATTGTACATCTCCAATGCACTGATCCACAAAAACGTACGCGTATGCGCAAAAATGTTGCTGGTATAGTCCACGACATTGTTCAGTCTTAAACTTCACTGATCCACGCATTCTAGCCAAATGATAATATTTCACTGACAGAGTATTCGCGCCAATTCTAGCTGAAAACATATTCAATTTCCTCCTGTTATCATAATCAAACACACAAGCCGATTTCAGACGACTGTAGATGTCAAAAGTTGAGATAAGCGCCTACAAGCCTAAGGAAAGTGAGCAACCCATCATGAAGTTGGGACATAGTTTTAGCTACATTCCTTGCGAGGAGAAGGCTTAAATTATTCTGCAATGGAGGTTAGATTTTCATGTAAACACCGAAAGTAAATTTCCCTTAAAGAAATGGCTATCAAAATGACATCATGCCATTCTGGTACAAGATGTGAGTACCGATTTAAGCGCCACTTATTTAGGGAAACCTTCTCCAGAGCGAAGCCTGTGCCAAAACGATGCCAGGTTCCCGCCTTTTTCTGTCAGATAAAAAAAGCGCGAAGCTTCCGTTGCACGTGCACGTTGCGCGTGACTAAACCGGATTCGCCTGGGGGCAAATCCGTCTATGTGATTCATGTTAAGCATTAATTTAAAACAATGCTCGTGTATTCCACAGGAGGATAAATCAACGCAGTAAGTTAATGAATGTAATTGACATCTCCTCCTCGAAAAACCGGGCACACCACCACGTGTACTGAATTGGTTGTGGTCAAGGCGCCATCCTAGGTAAAATGTTATCGAGGCGACTGGACGCTTAGGGGTTTTCCACTTGATTCAGACAATATTCCACTTTCCTTTCAAAACATCTTTTATTTTCTTCTTTTTTTGACAGAGACAGCAAACGGATATGAACGGTTCATAGTGACCAACGGCTCTTAAGATGACAATATAAAAACAAACACTTGTAACAACCACGTGACTGTCAACACTGCGAGACGCGCCAGAGTCAGATCATGACTCACTAACAGCAGCGGACACATCGTCTATGTCTGACGTCACAGAAGCCTTCCAACTAGTCTATTGTTGCTGTGATCTCTACTGATATGAGCCCGACTCAGACTCAGGGCAGTTTTATTGGCGGGGGCGTCACTTCCGTCGACTTGTCAACAACTCGTGGAAGTCCTCGCTCCTGCGCACGCCATTATCTCCGCGCGTGTATTTTCGGACTCGGCTTCACGGATACTGTACACACTTTACTACGACCAAGGCCTCCCTTTCAATTGTAAATGCAGGACTGCTGTTTGCAACAAGTTTTTTCCCCCCTGGCGCTGTCCCTTGTCTTTTCACAGTCTAACCACGCACAGAATTTTAAACCGTGACAAACGAGTAGTTCGTATATCGTTCAGTGAACGCCCGCGGCAATGTGTCGCCCTAACAGCGCTCTCTTGCACGGAGTCCCCGCCCTAAGGCAAAAGTGAAAGACCCACCATTCTCTTTTTTTTTTGCATGTACTCGCTTTGGCAACCGACCAACCCACAACCTACCCGCGGGATGAAGACTTAAGGGCAATCAAAAGCAATAAAAAACCTCTCCTTTCCAAGAATTTGAGAAAAGGGACCGCTATCGGCTGAGCTTTCCATCACTGTCAATAAATTATGCATTAATGCACCTACACCGACACAGTAACATCCAATAGGAATAACGACGCAGGTTTCCCATGACACAAAGTGATTTCTATATTTCACCATACGCTGTATATATATTTTTTTCTTACTTCAAACCATACATCACTACATACTTTGGCCACGGCGCGAGTAATATTTAATACAAAACGCAAAAACCAAGTTCAACTTCAGAAAAGACACAAGTTCATGCTAATTTCCTGCATTCTGTACTAGAAGTCGCTTACAAGAACTCTATCGAACACGGTAAAGTTAGGTAACACATAAAAAGCCCTGAACCAAAAAAAAAATTGTTTTCGTTTTCTGGCATTATGGGAATAGACACAGTTCGAAGACAGTTTGATAATACTGCTCAAACTTTGTAATGACAACAGGAACTACGTTTATTTACGGAAACATTCTCAGGATATTAAGACAAAACAGGTTTAAGGACAAAACACTTCAAAATCCTAACATGTAACTTAACGTATGATAGTTGGAAACCAGCTTCGACTGCAATAGGTTTTTGGCGGCTATAACGTATGGGGAATATACAGGTACATGTACATTGTAGGTGGACTCTACCCTGAGTGATATGACTTCAAAGGCATTACATTTAAGATAAAATGTATTGGGATAGTGATAAGTTTGACTGTTGCGACTGACTGCTTAAAGTTGTGAGCGCAAAACCTTTAAAATCGAGACACGTCGGGATTCTTACACTGAATGCATGTACATGTTTCAAACTCAGGTGAAGAATGACATCAATATGAAAACGACTCATTTCCGTACGATTGATTTGAGCTATTCTACTTTCAATATTGAAGAAAAATTACGTCAAAGCAAACTTTAGCAAAGGTCACTGATTTTAAAGGTCGTATATGCGTCTATCTGTAACAGCGGACGATATACACATGAACATGGAATATCGAGTCAAACTATGACCCCGTGAAATTCAATTTGCAACATTATTGTTCCCAGACTTTCCTTACTATTTCCCTTCTGACGGTACAAAGAAATGAAGACAACGTTTAATCATGAGACGATCGATAGGAGTAGCTACTTTACAAAAATACATTATTATTCAACATGAAACTGCCGGTATGCGACTTTAAAATCAAATGTTAGCGCTATACATTTATAAACCACACTTTTTGTTTTTACATAACCAAAATATAATATCGTCCTGCTCAAATTTACTGCTTGCAACTGTGCCTATGTAGTCCAGCTGCTAGTTATGCCGAATATTCCACGTTTCAATTTCTTTTTTTTTCTTTTTAGAATACATTTTGTTTCCTTTTATTTTACAGATGAAATATAGGCCACATAAGAGCCAAGCCATGAGATGTTGGCGTCATGGTGTCTATGTGTCACGCTCCTTTTTCACTTTGACCTCATCTCCAAGTATAGTAGCAATTTCTCCTTGCATGAAGGCCCACGGAGTGTTGGTGCCGACCAGGGGGCACTTCTGGCCACTCGGACAGTACACCTCGGCCCCAGCCCCCTGCTTCTTGATACTGTCCCTGGAACACGGGAAGCAGAACTTGTGGTTCCCGACCGAGGGGCACTGGACGAAGTGCGTATCTTCCAAGCGCTCGTGACAGATGGTGCACTTCAGAATGTTGATGGGAATGGACGAGTCCGGGAGGTGATTGGTGTTGGAACTGATACTGGTCTCCATGGGATGACCCTGGGCCTGGGCGAGCTCGCGGCTGCGGTACAGGGCGCGCCGGTGGGCAGTGTTTGGGGAGTGGGGGCTCCGTTGCGATGGCTTACTGTCCGACGGGGATCCATTTGTGGTGTTATTCACTAGGTTCGGGGTGGCATCGTCAGCCTTCTTCGGCGAGGAAGGCTTGAGGGTGCCCAGATTGTCGGTGACGGACATGAGCGCAGCCATGGGTGACGGACCCCCTTGGGTTGAACTTCCTGTTTCAGGTGGCGTGCTGGAGGTGGGATTACTCAAGGGAGACCCGCCAGAGCTTGGTGGCCTGGAGCTGGCACTGAACCCTGTGGATGCCATTGTGTGCTTCAACGCCTCTGTCTGGTTCTGCATCCACTGCTGCCTCTGCTGCTGCACCTGTTCGTCAGTCAGCTTCCCAGCAGCAGATTCGGGGTCGGGCTCGGGGGACGCCTTACGCTTCTTTGTTTTGAAGGGCAAAGAGGGCAACATCTGGCTCACCGTGTTGGTGGTTGGCAGCACAGGGCAGCTGGCGTCAATGTAAGGCTGCGGCAACATATCCACACTGACATTTTCTTTGAAGAACCTGACGGGTTCAGGCAGAAGATCACCCAAAGCCCGCCAATCATTTGAGCCGTGTTTCTTTTCGTATTCCAGATATTTGAATCCAGACGAAAGTCCCTTGCCCAAGTCTTTCAGACAATCTGAGTACATCTGCTTGGCCACTCCCGAGGGACTATTATAAACCTTATTTGACCCACTTGGGTACTCGATGAAAATTTTCAGTTCGTAATCCATACCCGGTTTGTAGGTGGCATCGAAGGAAAACACACGCCCCTTTCGACTGTGCTCTTTCTTGAATCTTACCTCAAAGGGGGTGCAGTTTGAGAGAGTTGCCAGCGTTTGACGAACGATTCCCGGGCGCTGTCCATACGGGTCCTCCGAGGTTGGCGTGATTCGGCGCTCTGCGCCCTCGATTGGAAACGCCGACGAACCTACCTCTTTCTCTTCCCGATCACGGTCGCTGGAGCTGCGTTTGGCTCGCAGGGAGGCGGTTGAGGACACAGTGGAGGGTGTTGGACCGGTCGGAGCCACGCTGTGCCGAGGCAATACCGTCGCCGACATACTTGAGGTTGGTGTGTTCAAATGATGAAGCAGACTCGGTGTTTGGTGACTGATGGCGCTGTGATGTAACGGTCTCCCCGATCTGTTCTCCCCAGACTCATCGGGAACAAGGTAGGGTCCAACGGGGCCGTTACCAAGTCTCTGCACGGTGGAGAAATCATGGATGCTTCTTGGTCGGTTTGGTTCATGACCCAGGAAACGCTCGGCGTGGCTGGAGAGTGACCCTGGCAGGCTTCTCGGTGAAGGCTCAACATGAGCAGTTTCCAACAACCCGCTTGGTCGAGGAGGAACGCTGGCCGACTGGGGCGGCATTTGGCCCGGTTTCTGCACCTGAAACGGCTTAGTCTCTTGAAATCCGTGCACCCGTTTCATTTGTCGAGCGGACTCGATGACCAGTTCAATCCTATCCGCCCCTTCATAGTTGACACAGCCTCGGCACACGGGCTCGGAGAAATCGTGTAGCAGAGCCCATGGCGTTCGGGGGAGGTCACAAAGATAGCAGTGTTGACGGTGCATTCTGAGCTGTACTGACTGCTGTGCGTGTGACGACGATGATGACATGTCTCCGGAAAATTACAATGTCCATACGAGCCACAACACAGCAGTGTTCAACTCCTCAACGTATGACTGTGTGGACAACTTCTGTCAAAATGTTTTGTAGTAGACGGTAGGGATTTTTACGCAGGAACACAAAAGTGTGTTCACATGTTTCAAAATTCTACAGGCACCTTCTCCTACCGGTTGACACGGGTCTAATCTGTCTCTTGACTGAGTACACACTCGATGCAAGGTGTATATAACGGTACACAATGACGATCTGCTCGGCTCAGCCAGATCATGGCCAGATGGCAGCGCTCGCCAGCGCGGCAAACAAGCCTCTAAGAAAACACTGCCCATGCGCGATGCCCTCCCTGTGTGTGGTAGCATCACATGCCATGCATGGCATTACAGACATAGTGATGACGTAGGCGACAGGAATGTGCAACGATAGACGCGCGGTGCCTCGGGACAGAGGAAAGAAAAAAAGCTAAGGCTGACTCATTAGGAAGAAGAGGAAACACGAAACTTGCAGCGCTGCCCGCTATTATTGAATCCGCTCACGCGTGGGCAATTTCATCACTACTGCACAGTCAAGCCGCGGTGCGGTGCGGCGCGGCGCTCAGCTAGCAACGTACTACAGGGCCGGGCCATAACCTACTGGCTCATGCAGGGTATGCTGGGCGGGGGGGGGTTGACAAAATATTCGACTCATTCAGCACACACGGGGCTGGGCCCTATATTTCACAGAAGTGAGTCACTCGGAACAAACAACTATACAAGATTTTCGGACCCTCCGGTGCGCTGGCTGTGGCACGTTCTGAGCGGTAATAAAAGCCGGACACGGCCATCCATCACCCGCGGCCAGCCGGCAGTTCTTGCTTTGATGACGGCAGTCTGGAATCTGATCCCAGCATACATAACCAACGGCAACAGCGAGTCCAAATACAGCTGTGTTGCCGGTTTAGAAAACAATGTTGGGGTGAAGTTTAAGCCAAATTGCAAAATAATACAGCGCCAGCCGGTGGGAATGAGAGATGGTATACTTTTGACATTTCCAGAGCATTCATTTTAAAGATGTAGAGAATTTTGAAAGAGAAATATTCGGGTGAGTCAAAAAAACAGAGAACTGTTTTCATAATCCAGTAGCTCATCAGAAGCAGGTTTGTTCAAATGGTTGAATAACCCGTAATATTCACACAGCCGACTTTACGTACATAACTTGGGCCAATTTCATAGAGCTGCTTAAGCACAAAATTTGCTTAAGCGGGAAAAACTTTGCTTCATAAACAACGCTACCAGCTCAAGCTCTGATTGCCATGCTAACCAAAAAACAAGCTAAATACAACGCCAAAACAATATACATCACATGGAGTTTGGGCTGGTTACCACATTTATCGAGTAAGGTTTTTTAAGCAAATTTTGTTCTTAAGCAGCTCTATGAAATTGGCCCAGGTGTGATGATCTTGAGCGGGAAATGGAGATCGTTTGGCGGGTGTGGTGCTGATTGCTGATCGGTCTAGCCGCGTACACAATGGCTTCTCAAATTGGATGGCTATAACGACAAATATTTTGACATTCTGTGGCACGTCTGGTTTTACGCTAAGGTTACTAGGTCAAAGGTCAGAGTCAGTTGTTAAAACTCATGATTCGTTCGCGGTGGTGTAAAAATTATGTGACCTTTTGGAAATCGTGCCGCGTGAACTTCCAGGAGGCGGTACTAAATCAAAAACGAAAGTGAATATGCAATGCCATCGTGGGGGATTTCGATATCAAGGAAATAATATGACAGTACTGCCACAGTTTACATCCACGATATTGAAACCTCCCCCCCCAAAAAAAAAAATTGCCTGTCCAATTCAAAATGAAATGGTTCACTGTGGGTGAAATTGGGCTTTCGAAAGCTGAGTACGCTACATCTACCGTGACGCAGCATGGCACAACAAAGCCCTCCTGATAGACATAAAGCAATTTTTGACTCGATGTGGATACGGGAAAGGAAGGCGTCAACTGGAATTCGGCTTTCTCGGTTTTCGAGAGGGAATACAACACCGTCAAACGTGTGCCTCAGTTCCCTTCACATAAATTCACAGAAACCGAACATGACCTCCAGCAGTGCCAACCAGCGCCCAGGCACTGCACCGGCTTTCGTAGTAGAAATAACAATGGCTCGCCATAAGGATCACGCGATGTCAAGAGTTCAAAAGAACGGAAGAAGGGAAACAAAAACAAACCGTGGCCACGATAGGCTGCACTGCTCGATTCATATATTTTTAGAAGGTTTCGCAACCTGTTGTTGAAAGGGGTTTCTTCTCGAAGGGATATTCTAATCATTTGCAGAATATGTTCTACTTAATCTTTACCAAATTAGTAAATGAAATCTTTGAGCCTTTAGCGATTATTCATTAATTGTGATATACTTCAGTTGAATGACCGTGTAAACCATGCCCAAACCCTCTGTAAAGACTGCCAGTCCCGAGTCAGGAATGAAACGCCTCAAACGTCAACAAAGTACCTGTAAGTTCATTCTGCCTTTTTTTTTTCAAAGGAACACAAAGACCCCCTCCCCCAAAAAATGCAATAAACACAACCGCTGGTGCATTATACACAAATATTTCTGGTTTTGTTTAGAATACACAATACTCCAGTTTTTTTAATGAGACCCCAGAGAATTATGGACATATAAAGGTTGTCGGCATGTTTCTATAGGCCAAAGAGAAAAGGGAGATCCCCGTATCTTCCCGAAAGCTTGTACCAGTTACACCGCGGGCTTTGTTCTTGATCGACCGGGTTGCCATGTGCCGACAGTATTCCTAACAACATTGCCGGATAACGTACAAGAATGCCCAGCGCAGACCTGACTGACCTTTATGTCTGTCCATAGACGTGGCCAACAAGGCTTTATGACAAAAATTGAGAAATAAACAAATCCCCCCCTTTCCGACGACCAAGTTTCAGTTTCGGTATGGCGAAAACACACACACGCACACAAACGGTTCATCTCCGTGATACGGTTTGAATTTTACTTGAGGAGAGGGTGTACTATGAAAACACTGCATGGACAGCCACAGGCACTGCAGCGGAAAACAGCTTGGAACCAATTTGATTCCAGACACAAGAAAAAGTGTCGCGAGCCTGCAAACAAAATATTGGCATTACGGATAGATGTCCATGTAATCTGTACAAAGTTCGAGGGGGTTTTACAATATATTTGGAGCTTTTTAACCTCACGCGTACGTGCAAGCCGAGAATAGCTAAAGAACTCGTTTTCGCGGATCGATGCCGCTGCACACAAGTGCTATAATATCAAAGAAACACTGGATATATTCGTGGGACAATTGAATTTGTTTTGCCGTGGCAAAAAGCGTCTGGAACTGAGAGAAATTCACAAGGATTAGTGAACATCTAATGACTTTTGGTTGATATCGCACCGACAACAACCACTTTAATCGGGCCCAGAAACTTTTATCCTCGAACCATAACCCTAATCCAAATTAGCATTAGACATCATGATAAGCGCTTCCTCTCGATGTGCTAACGGAGTGTGGGACGGAGAGATCAGGGGTAGGGCTTACTGAGTTAGAGACAATCTCTAATCAGGACATGCGATGCTTAATTACCAATTTCCCCGTTTTGGGCCTGCTCCGAGCACGAAGAAAGGGACTCATGTCTAGTTATCTGTCGTTAAGACGTCTCACGGATGGAAAAGGCTTGTAGTAGTGACGGGGGATGACGGGATTTTGAAATTAGGAGACTGGAGCCAGGGTCTGGTGGTTTTTAATGGGTGTGTCGAATCCGCCCCACAACACCCGTCGTTGCTTATTCAACTCCACCCATCGAGAAACGGAACTGCCCTTTCGCTATATGCGAAAGTGGGGAATGATTATGTCATATCTCAACAGCTCAAGTCATAATGCTTTGCCCCAGGCAAATCTCTATAGTAGAAAACTGGCCCTTCACGTTATGGTGAAATCAAATACTGATGATTTTTTTAAAAATTCATTTCTAACACAAAAAGTGGCGATCAATATTAAAGCACCAATATGGAGAGGACCTTATGTCTTAAAAGCATAACTCCTTAACAGTACGTTCTAAACCAAAACCAGTTCAATAAAATTATCACCATCTAATAAAAGCGATTCACAATAGTGCGCCACCAAGAGTTTGCAACGCATTGGCCAATCAGAACGCGCAATATTTGTCGACCCTTTCCAAACGCGCAATAGGTTGACAAATTCCGCGCATTGTGATTGGCCAAAGCGTTGCAAACTCTTGGTGGCGCACTATTGTGAAACGGCCGTATTCTTCAAACTTACAACTCGTGGATAATGTCAGAGAGCGCAGTTGTTTCCATTGCGATTGATATGAAAGCAATCACCCAGTTTTCAACACGTTATTGGTGATCGACTCTTTGTTGGGACACAGTTATTATGCATAGCATTATTATTTATAATATGGTTTATTACATTTTGCCTTTTCGCAGCCATAAGGTTGAATTACATAGGCATTACAAAACAATCCATTTATACGGTTAAAACATCAAAACGGGAAAATCACAAAAATCATCTTGCATAACAATGCATTCCAATCGGGCAGGTGCATACTAGGAAGTGCAGATGCCAACTACGTTCCGCAAAGCTCATAAAAATACGCATCGAACCGTCCGTTAATTCAAAGTGTCAACACTGAACAAGCACTGTGCCGGTGGGGTGAGAATTTATACGCAAGCGGACTGGCACCTCGTAAATTGGAAAACGACCAACATCACAGACTATCGTCGTCCTTCCAAGAATATAAAGCACCCAAACATGATTGATATTTCCGGCCTCAGTCCTAGCAACAACATTGTGGATTAATACCAAACCTAGTTTAGAACTATATATAAAAACACTTTAATTTTTGCTTTAAACTAGTACAACCTGAAAGTCGCGGCAAGTAATAACTATAAAAACAACTTCACATGCTGAAATTATTTAGGTCTCTGCATGCTCCTACTTCAGTCTAAATACGCAGGCCTGTCACCACAACATAATTTTATGCTGGTTTGGATTTAAATACACGGGGTGCACTGGGCCTGGGCGTTAGTTAAGCACGAGGATCAACTGCGCCAGTATCGAAACCCCGTGACCTGGCCTTTCACTCGCATCCAGGTCGGCATAGTATCACTCGTTCGGGGGGGGGGCTTCCCCATGTACAATGTTTGCAATAGCCTCGGGTCAAAAGGTGTATCCTCAAAATAACGGCGTTCCCCTGCCACACTCAAGCTCGAGACACGCGACGAGCCTGCAGACAACAATGATGAAATCCGATCGATATGTCTTAATCATCGTAATCCAACATAATTCCAGGATGGAAATCTCTGTGGCGGGCCCTGTGTTATCATCTCATAAGGCCGTGTGGGTGAGCTCCGCCCAACCTGGATTGTCTCAGGCAGCACTGAACTGTCTCGTCGTCTCAACGAAGATGATTCGCCATCAACGACAAGTCATGTTTGAACTCCGTTGTGGCAGAAAGTAGCACGTGCGCACATTATACACAGTTCTTTTGACATAAA